GCGCGTGCGCGCCCAGCGCGAGGGGGGGGGGAAGAGGGGCGAGGGCGGGGCCGACTGTGAGGATAGTGATGGGATCAGGGGAGAGGCGAAGAAGAGAAGGACCTCTATACAGCGGAGGGGGGGGGGAGAGGAGGAGGAGGACGAGGAGGAGGAGGAGGAGGACGAGGAGGAGGAGGGGGAGAAGGAGGACCGACAACAATAGCGAAGCTAACTCGTGAAAACCAACGTGTGGCGGCGCATTATGTTTGAAGTCGCTTGCGCGCGGAAGACACTTGTGAAACTCAAATCGGTAACCGCGAATGGTTTCCTTTAGCGTGGCTGTATTCTTTTCGTCAGAACACACAATTAATGTCAACGCATGTTAACTTCAACATCCAATCGGTCACCGTTAAATATTCACTTTCGGTTCCAGGCCAACACAGTGACTTATATTTTCCATGTGTGAAATATCAGAAAACGCATGTTAACTTCAAAATCCAATCGATCACCGTTAAGGGTTCACTTTAGTTTCCAGGCGTGCATGGCGACTCTTTCATTTGTGAAAATATCAGTAAACGCATGTTAACTTCAAAATCCAATCTGTCACCGTTAAGGGTTCACTTTAGTTTCCAGGCCAACATGGCGACTTTTCTATTGTGCACAATACAAAACTCGCCACGCGCGCGTCCGCGCGCGCGCGCGCGTCCGCGCGCACGCGCTATCGGGTGACCCGCGCGCGGGCGGGTCACCCGAAATCCCGTTGGTCACCGTTAAGGGTTCACTTTAGTTTCCAGATCAAGATGGCAGCTTACCGTGTGCGGCGATACAAAACTCGCCACGCGCGCGTCCGCGCGCGCGCGATCGGGTGACCCACGCGCGGGTTGGTCACCCGAAATCTCGTTGGCTACAGTGATATGTGTTCGTTGACCTTGCCAGGCCAACGTGGCGCTTGGAAAAAATAAGAAAACGCAGGTTAACTTCAAAATCCAATCGATCACCGTTAAGGGTTCACTGTAGTTTCCAGGCGTGCATGGCGACTCTTTCATTTGTGAAAATATAAGAAAACGCATGTTAATTTCAAAATCCAATCTGTCACCGTTAAGGGTTCACTTTAGTCTCCAGGCCAACATGGCTATTTTTTTAAATTGTGCACAATACAAAACTCGCCACGCGCGCGTCCGCGCGCGCGCGCGTCCGCGCGCGCGCAATTGGGTGACCCGCGCGCGGGCGGGTCACCCGAAATCCCGTTGGCCACCGTTAAGGGTTCACTTTAGTTTCCAGATCAAGATGGCAGCTTACCTTGTGCGGCGATACCACGCGCGCGTCCGCGCGCGCGCGCGCGCGATCGGGTGGACCACGCACGATCGAAATCCCGCTGCTTACCGTTTTAAGGTTCGCTTTAGTTTCCAGGCCTGCGAGTTTTCCATGATATGGTCAATATTTGAGACTTGCCACGCGCGCGTCCGCGCGCGCGCGCAATCGGGAGACCCGCGCGCGGGCGTGTCACCCGAAATCTAGCTGACCGTTGATGGCTCACTTGGGTTTCCAAGCCCACATGCAAATATTCGAGAACATTACGCATCCTACGTATGGCGCGCGCGCGCGAGCGCTTGCGGGTGGGCTTGCGCGCGCGTGCGCGCGCGTGCTGGCTGGCCCACGAGGGCCCGAAAACTGAATGGTTACCAGAGTGGTGGATTCTGCGATTTTGGTGTAAATTGAGCCGCCGTGACAAACATTGAACCATCTTGACAGAAATTGAGCCAGAATCACAAACATTGAGCCAGCTGAAGCTGCTACCACAAAATTGAATCAGCTCGGAAAAATTGAGCCATTTTGACGGCTCAATTAAATTGCGACTCCAAGATCTCAGGGTCAGGGGGGCCCGCGGCCCCGAGCGGCAGCGGCAGGGGCGCTCCGCGTGCTCCACGATGGGCGGGTCGCCGGCGATGACGAGGTCGTCGGCCAGACCAATGGCCTCGTCGGCCGGCGCTCCTGCGTGGCCCCCGGCTGGCGGGAGCGGCGGCGCCGCCGGCGCGGGCGGCTGCGGCTCCGACTCGGCGAGCTCGACCCTGCCTTGAGGGTCCTGCCTGCGCGAATTAGGAATTGAGTTCCTTCATCAATTAAGGCAAACAAGCTTTTCCTGATTAGCGCAAACAAGCTTTTCCAACATAGTCTGCATGTTCGCAAAAATCGCTGGCGTCGGGTCCGTCGCCCCTCCTGTGCAGGAGGGAACAGAGGAGGCACAGGAAACCGCGCGATCCGTACAGCCGTCGCGGTTCCAGCCCATCCAATCTTCATCCAATATCGCATTTTTCTTTTGCGCGTCGTATCATGGCCGAGGAACGGGCGAAGAACGCGGCTTCGGTGGAGAGCGTGGAGAACTCGGTGAAGTCATGCCAGAAGGAGATACTTGCAATGACGATCTTCCCATCTGACATGGATGACGTGGTCGTCAACAACATGGCTTTCTTGGGCGGTGTCATTCAGATCACGCAACGGATCTCGGAGCCTCAACTGCGAGATGCGATCGCCCATAAGCTCGGCACGCCCAGAGATGACGCCGGCATGTATGCGAGGCAGCTTCCGGCTGCTCTCTCGCGCGTCCTCGCCGAGTGGAGG